TTCCGGAAACTAAGTTGTTACAATTTGCTCATATGGATTGGTTGCAGTTCTCCTCTGTTTAATGCTTTGTAATAGGTTTTTGGTTATCTTTTTTTTTTCTTATTCTCTTTTTAGGATTCTGAATCCCTTCTAGGCATGTTGCAGTAGAGGGTTTCTGTTTCCTTCTCCTTCTCCTTAGTTCGAGTTATTTCCTCTTGTTGAGGTTCTAGACTATCTTTCGGTATGTCTCTCAGTTTTCTTCTTTCGATTCTCTTATTGTTGTGAATATTGTATTCGGATGTTGTCCGCTTTGAATTTCTTAATAGACGCTCTATCGTTTTGGAAAAAAAAAAAATAGTAATGTTATGCAGAGAGCTCAGACATAAGAACTGAAGCTTATATGTAAGATTATTCTTTTTATTAATCGAGAATACTTAATTATTTTTGCACATCACTAAAGTTAATCAAGCAAAAGAACACATTTGGTTTTGATAATTTAAGGGCATGAAGAATTTACGAGGTCAATTACCTCTCCCCAACGAACGAAGCGAAGCGTCTATCTCAAATTAAACCCATCAATTTTCTCCAGATTTTTGGGTAAAAAGAAGGTTGGTGCTTTATTTTACCATCAATCTTCATTTTACCATCAATTTCCTCAATGCATGGCAAAATTTTAGTCACCCCCTAATTAATATTATCGATTAATGATCACATAATTTATTATTAAGGCCAAAATTAACTCTCACATTCCGTGAAGCGATTGAACATGCACCAGGAATTTAAAAGAGAGTTGAAAATTCATATGAAATGGTACGATTATATATATGCATTAATAACCGATTATTTCTCGCCGATAATTTTTTTTTTTTTTTACAACTTTTAATCCAAAGTTCAACTCAAAATTAATTCAACTTAACTTTTCTTAATATCGCAGGTGATAAACGAAACAGTGAGACTGGCGAATATCGTTCCTGGGATTTTCAGAAAGACGCTGAGAGAAATCAGATTCAAAGGTTTGTATCGAGCACGAAATTAACGAGTTCACTTGTAAGGTTTGTTTTTATAGAACATAACTTGACAC